GTCTAGAGAGAGCTTCATCCCTCTGCCTTTCTCTTTCTCGGGGAAATTCCAGCCTTCAGAACCTTCTCTAGAGGAGAGAAAGGGCTCGCCTGCACATGAGAATTGACCCTGGAGAGGGGGCCGGAGAGAGTCCTTCACGTTTACCTGTTTCTGTTCTGTTAGCTCTAGGCAGCAGACCCTGGGTGGGCGGATGCCACTCCAGAAGGTCCCCAAATCCAGGTTTCAGGCATCGCAGGACTCCTTCCTCTGGCTCTGAGAAGGGAGCAGATGTCCTGACCACCACTCCTCCCTTCCCTACTAGAATGACAGCTATAAAAGGACCAGAATTTTTATCCGTTTGGTTCCCTGTTGTATCCCCAAAACCTAAAAATGTGCCTGGTAGAAGCACTATGAATAACAAAAGCACAATAAATAATCCTTGATTGAATGAATATTAATAAAAAGTAAAATTCTTCAAGTAGATTTTATGGTTATGAATCTTTAGACATTAAAGTAACATTGAAATACATAAATCAAAAGCTATTAGAAATCAGAAAAAATGGTGATCATAGAGAAATGTTAAACATAAGAGATTTAAAATCCTTTTAGAAAAAGTGATAGGTTGAGTAGACAAAACATATAGAGGATATAGAATACCTGAATAATGAAAATTGCAAGCCTAAGCTAATAAATGTGCCTATGGAACATTTGTAACATGTGAACATACACTGGGTCACAAAGAAAATCTCAGTAAATTCCAAGAAAGGGGAACATATTTAATACTGGCTTCTACTTTACTTTGTGTAAGCTAGGAAAACCCTAAAACAAATAATAGAAATACATGCAAAGAAAACAATAAGCCCATCTCTCTACACACACATATACACACACACACATACACGTATATAGCCATTACTACTAAATACCTAGGAATCAACTAACAGGAAATCAAATCTAGCAATAGAATAAAATAATACCATAACCAAATCGGTTTCTATTCAAAATCTGCAAGTATAATTGACCATTAGGAAATTATTAATGTAATTTATTATGCTAACAGTAAAAGGATAATATTTTTGTTAATACTTTGGTGTATTCTGAAAACCCATTTGACAAAAGTCTGTATCCATTCTTAATTTAGATTATCTCTGGTTATTTGGAATTAAAGGAAATTTCCTTTGCTTTATGAAAGGTAATTACCAGAAATCAATGACAAGCAACTTGGTGCAAAACTGGAAATAGTCACATTAACGTCAGGAATAAGACAAGCATGCCAGCTATCACTACTACTGTATAGCATTATTCTGGAGGTCTAACCAATACAATAACAAAAGAAAAAGAAATATGGTATAAATTCCAGAAAAGTACAATTACCATTACTTGCAAGTAAAGTTGTTTATCCATAAAACCCAATGCAACTTACTAGGGGAAAAAATAAGGACCAGAGTTCTTATCTATGTATTCAATAACATGTTTTATATATAATAAATATGCAAAATTAGCAGCTTTCCTTAATACCATAAGATCTTATTAGAGAATATGAGTTTCCAGTTGAAAGGGGTAGATTCAGTGCACACATTCATGTCTATTTGCTCTGAAAATCTACTATAATGACAGTAAAAAAAATAAAAGTAAGAAAAACCCAGAGTGACAAAGAGAATGAAAGAAAAATCAACAGCAGGCAAGAAATTGATACAAAACTTGGAAGCTGGTAATAGGTGGATGAATGGTAATTGACTTGTGTATGTGTGTGTCTATTACTTACTCAGTGGTGTCTCTCTTCGTGACCCCATGGACTGTAGCCCACCAGGCTCCTCTGTCCATGAGATTCCCCAGGCAAGAAAACTGGAGTGGGTAGCCATTCCCTTCTCCAGGGGATCACTGATCCCTGTTGCTTGTGGGAGGGGCTTGGTGATTGGTGGATTTCATCAATTTAAAGAACGTGAATTTAGTATTTGAGAAAGTTGGGTTTTATTTTATTTTATTGATATATAATTGATTTACAATGTTGTATTCAATTTCTGTTGTAAAAAGTTGATTTTTCAAACAAATGAAAAAGAGATAAAGAGATAAATATATTTGAGACAAAGTAGATGCCAACCTCATACTGCAGGCAGCTTCTTTACCATCTGAGCTACTGGGAAAATGGAAGTCTAACTGGCAGAAGTGGGGAAAGTGAATAAACATCAGAACAACCCTGGTAACTTCACAACCTGAAAGTACTGAGTACCTCTAAATGCAGGGGTGCAGGGCAGGCTGAAAAATAGGAGAACCAGTTAAACTTTTCTCTTTCTCATTTAATGTTTGTTTATATTGAAGGTTAGTTGATTTATAATGTCATGTTGGTTTCAGGAGTACAGAAAAGTGATTCAGTTATGTGTGTGTGTGTGCGTGTGTGTGTGTGTGTTCTTTTTCAGACTCTTTTCTCATATAGGTTATTACAGAACATTGAGGAGAGTTCCCTGTGTTATACAGTAAATCCTTGGTGCTTATCTATTTTATATATGTGTGTGTGCTCAGTCAGTCAATCATGTCCAACTCTTTGTGACCTCGTGGCCCCCACCAGGCTCCTCTGTCCATGGAATTTTCCAGGCAAGAATACTGGAGTGGGTTGCCATTTCCTATTCCAAGGGATCTTCCTGACCCAGGGATCAAACACATGTTTCTTGAGTCTCCTGCATTGGCAGGCAGATTCTTTACCACTGTACCACCTGTTTGTTCAGGGCTCAGTCATGTCTGACTCTTTGTGACCCCATGGGCTGCAGCATGCTAGGCTTCCCTGTCCTTCACCATCTCCCAGAGCTTTCTCAACTCATATTCATTGAGTCAGTGATGCCATCCAACCATCTTATCCTCTGTCATCCCCTTCTCCTCCTGCCTTCAATCTTTCCCAGCATCAGGGTCTTTTCCAATGACTTGGCTCTTTCACATCAGGTGGCCAAAGTATTGCGCCACCTGGGAAGCCCCAATATGTATATATATAGTAGATATATATATATACTACTATATTATATATTATACAGTAGAAATATATGTTAATCTCAAATTCCTAATCTACCCCTCCCCCATACCTTTCCCCTTTGGTAACCATAAATTTGTTTTCTATGTTTGTGAGTCTGTTTCTGCATTGTAAATAACTTCATTTGTATCATTTTTTTAGATTCCACATATAACTGATATCATGTGACATTTGTCTTTGACTTACTTCACTAAGTATAATATTCTCTAAGTCCATCCATGTTGCTGCAAGGGGCAATATTTCATCCTTTTTTATGGCTGAGTAATACCCCATTATATATATATATATACACCACATTTTCTTAAGTCATCATCTGTTGATGAGTAACTACAAGTTTCTTGATTGCATTCCCATGAGCTCTATTTTTCCTTAATGAGAGCCACATTGCTTTAATTATTGTAGTTTTATAATACATTTTGCTATCCAGTAGGGCAAGTCTCCCTTTAACTTTTTTCAAAAATTTTTAGATCTGTTTGTGGGAGGCGCTTGGTGATTGGTGGATTTCATCAATTTAAAAAAAGTGAATTTAGTATTTGAGAAAGTTGGGGTTTTTATAATTTTACTGACATATAGTTGATTTACAATGTTGTATTTAATTTCTGTTGTAAAAAGTTGACTTTTCAAACAAGTGAAAAAGAGGGGCTATGATTTAATGATATTTGAGATAAAGGAGATGCCAACCTCATGATATTCTCAAAAATAAATTCCAGGTGGCTCAGTAATATAAATGTAAAATAAAATTATGAAAGTACCAAAAGAAATGTAGAAAATGTTATTTCAATCCTTCAATAGAGGAGGAGGGTCCAAGATTAATTTAAAAAAAAAAAAAAACTTGGGAGAGAAAAAATCCAAAGGAAAAGCAAAAAGGAAAAAAGTGAACACCAATAGGTTAAGGTCCAGTTCAGCCAAAGGTATCATAAAAGATAGAACAGATTTCCAATTCTGGGCATGATGTAGTCACTGAACTAGCCATTCTGCTGTAAGCAACCAGAAAACTGGACAAACACATGAACTCTGTTGTTTTCAGAGATTGGATAACAGGCAGAGCAGAACTGGCATCTGATTGAATGAGCCCACGACCCTCTTGGGTTTCTTCCTGGAGGATATTTCCAGACTGCTGGGCAGAGGGGGAGGGTCCACACAGGATGTGGCAGTCTCAGTAGGCTGAGGAAAGAAAGATGTAAGTTTGGGGAGACTGAGCAGACATTCTAGAATTTGGGAGCAGAGTATAAAGTAATGCAGAGAAAGAACTCTATAAAGCATCCTGGCAGGTCCCAGGAAAGCCCTGGTGGGCCTGGGACTGGAGGTGGAGTGACTCCCCTGGGAATAGAAGGGGAGTGTCTGGGGCTCTTTGGGGCCTGTGTGCAGGAAGGAGAGAAAGTCAGTGGGGTTCAGGTCACCCAGGAACTTACCCACAAAGAAGAGCGCCACAAGACAGGAGACCATGAACACACCCAAAAAGGCCAGAGTATAAAGTAATGCAGGGTAAGGCAGAGAAAGAACTCTAGAAATGTGTCTTGGGTTCCCTGGGCACGTTAAGGATAGGACCCCAGTATTTGAGGCAAAACACTTGCTCTAGAAATTCTCATTCTAAGCTGAGCTGGCAGAAAGCTGAGTCCCTGGAAGGGTTAATGGGGGCAAGAAAAGTCAGAGAAACGTCCCTGAGAATTAACAGTCTGAAGACAAGTAAAGCCAGCACTGAGAAGAAATGAGTTTGGGGAGTGACTTTAAAGGTCTTGGAAAATTCCAGCTCCAGCCCCGTCTCCAACAAAGGAGGTGCCGAGAACACCTGGGTGGCTATGACTTCTGGGAACATGTACGCTGCCCAGTCATTGTAGTTTGGGGTCAACCTCTGCTGTCTGCAACAAACCAACTGAAAGGGCCTAGCTATAAAGCCCTTAAACAAAGACATCCTTATCTCAGAACAGAAGGAACCCTGAGGGAAGGAGAACCAAAGCAGGGAGAAGCAAGCCTGGTGGCTGTCGCAGAGACAAGTCCAAACTTTGGTTCATCGGAGTATTTATTGAGGAGCCGCCATCTGACAGCCCTGCACTGGTTGCCGAGAAGATATAGAGACACAAGTCTTTTTTTCCTCCTTGAGAAGCTGCTGGTCGTGCTGGGTCATGTTAGGTGAACATATTCCAAAGATTTATTTCAAAAGGACAGGTCAGGAAAAGCAAAGGCTGAATGGAAGGCCCCAGCGAACCAATTGATTGAGCGGCTCCCAAGGCGTCGTGGAGAAGGGCCTCAGTCCCACCTGCCCCTGGGCTACAGCTGGCCCACAGACGTCTTGCAGATCCAGTTGCAGAGAGCGGAGCAGGATATGTCATTCCACTTCCGCTGCACTTGGACACAGTCTTCCGACCGCTCAATACCGTGTGGCCAGTTGTCCGGCTGATTCTGATCCCAAAACCTGGCAACAAGAGGGCTTCATTCTGCTGATGAAGGAAGTGTCCCTTCCCCCTGCTTGTGGCATGAGGAGCTGAAGTGACATGGGTCCCTAGACCCCTGGTGGCCCCAGGTACCCTGAGGGTGGCTTTGCTGAGGTTGTCCTTCATTACTGAGAATGGAGGGATGGTAAGTGTGTCTAAAGTTACAAGTCCCCCCCACCAGAATTCATATTTAGTGCCTTCAGATGGGGGCAAGGCTCCTCAGGCCCAGGCCTACGTGGTAGGGTATAGGATAGGCCAAAAAAAAAAAAAAAATCCAAAACAGCAATACCCCGTCACAGGGTGCCTGCCAGCCCCAGGACCTGTCTTATTCTGATGCCCCCGTGAAGGGGTCCAGGCAAGGATCACAGCTATGCTGGTATACATACACATTGTACACACAACCACACACATCAACCACACAGTCAAATATACACACACCTTATACACACATCACACATGCACATCATACACATAGATCACACACAATGCTAACACTTCTTGGACAGGGATACACACGCAGGACAGAGTCTCTAGACAGACCTGTCCCAGCCAGTGCCTAAGACGGCACCAGACAGAGGCAGGACTCACGCTCTGCTCCCAGCATGATCGAATGGTGTGTCATCTGTCCAGCGCCAGCGGCCCTCCGTGCCGCGGTCGGTGAGGCCAATCCAGTAGTAAACGGAACCCGTGAACTGTATCAGAAATGCCTGTGGAGAAAATGCAGTGTCCCTTGAGCTCGTGTGAGGAGCTTGTTCACCAGGCCACGTGGAAGAGGAATCCATGCCGTGCTCTCCCCAGTCCCAGCAGTGTGAAGCCCACGCTTCAGGAGCTGCACCCCCGCCATGGATTCCCTGGTTTTCCAGAGCTAGGGCAACAGACAGGTCACCTCCGGGAAGTTCCGCTTCTTCCATGTTTACCTGATGAGGAGTGTGGCTTTCCTGGGACAAAGACAGACCTGGCCATGTTTTTTAAGATGCGTTTTACAAAATAGCATGTCATTTGACAGACAGACAAGAACAGTCTCAGGAAAACCCCAAGGGATGGGTAGGTCTGTAAGTTAAATCTGGCCAAACATACGGTGGGGTCCTTGTCAGTAACTTTAGTAAATTCTGATAAAGAACATTTGGCATATGGGCCACTCTGGTGCCCTGTTGCCTTTGTTGTTGTTCAGTCACTAAATTGTGTCCAACTCTTTGCAACCCCATCGACTGCAGCACAGCAGGCCTCCTTGTCCTTCACTATCTCCCAGAGTTTGCTCAGATTCACATCCATTGAGTCAGTGATGCCATCCAACCATCTCATCCTCTGAGGTCCCCCTCTCCTTTGCCTTCTATCTTTCCCAGTATCAGGGTCTTTTCCAATTGAGTTGGCTCTTTGCATCAGGTGGCCAAAGTATTGGAGCTTCAGCTTCCACAACAGTCCTTCTGATGAATGTTCAGGGTTGATTTCCTTTAGGATTGATTGGTTTGATCGCCTTGCAGTCTGAAGGACTCTCAAGAGTCTTCTCCAGCACCACAGTTTGAAAGCATCAATTCTTCGGTGCTCAGCTGTCTTTATGGCCTCAAACTCATATATTTGTCTGACCTTCCCAAGAAGCCTGCATTGTCTGCTCATGGGCCTTCCATAGCCATGAGATGAACTGACATTAAAGTCAAGATTGACAACTAGAGAGGAAGCCTGAGAGGAAGATGAGGGAATGGGGAGGAGGAAGGAGGCACCCAGCACATTGAGGGCAGTTACCTGGTGCCCCTCCCTCTGCCCTTCCTTTCTGCTGGCCCCCCTGGGGTCTCCCTCGTTCACTGAGGACATTGGGTTTGCTGTCAGTGCTTATACGTCCTGTGCAAGATGTTCATCAGAATTCAATAAATATTTGCTCTCTGGCTGACAGAGGAGATGTGAAGGACTGCCACGCCCACTCCAAGAGGGGAAGGCCAAAGCACAAAGCCCCTGACCCCACATCAGTCCCAGAAGAAGCACCCCAAGCCCATAGCTCTGACCTGCTCCTCCTCCGAGGTCACCGAGGCCAGGTGGGCTCCATGGGACACACAGAACTGCTCAGCCTCCTGCCACGTCTTCTTGGCAGAAGAAAAGTAATACAAGTTCCCATTGTAGGACTTCCAGTCTTTTGTGATCAGATGGAGAAGTTGATCTGGAGCAAAGGTGGGGAAGGAGAGAGAACCAGGAGCTGGCTGCAGATCCTGCTCCCTCCAGGGACTGACCACTGAGGGTCACAAGACCCTGAAACACTTGATGCCCTCAGCTAAAGGGCCACAGTCTGGGAGGCTGCACCCCCAGTGCACTACCCCACAGAGCGGGGGGCAGCTCGGGATATCTGGCTCCATCACTCCAGGGGTATTCAGTCAGCTCTGCTACCCAGCCATACTCTTTCAAGGCTCTTGCTTCCTAGCTATACTACTCACTTTCCCAACTCATTGCTATCACCTGCTTGTCCCCTGCATCTCAGTTCCCTTCATTTCTGGGAGAGTTCACAGCCATCCTGTATCTTCACTCATTCCCTTGACTTCATCTCCATCTACTTCAGCTGTCCACACCAAGAACCACACTTGGGACCTTGTCAACCCCCGCTCTGCCTGACCTCACAATTTCAGACCCTAACGGCTCATCCTATGAGCACACGCCCTGATTCCCTCGACTATTTCATCCCCCTCTGTCCTGACACTCTGTTCTTTGACAGCCTCCTAATCACAGCTCCTTGAAATGGTGCCAAAACAGACTCATTCATTCATGTATTCTTTTATTCAATATACCTTAACTTCTATGAATCAGGAACCTTTATACAAAGATCAATTAGACATGATTCATACCCTCAAGGGAATTTCTGTCCAGCAAATGAGACAGACATAAAAATGGTATTGAAGATGCATTGATTGGAAACCATGGCAAGTTAGAGGCACAAAAGGGGGTGTGGTCTCCTTCGGCTGGGCTGAAAACAAGGCTCAGGAAGGACACTAGGTGAGGATTCACTTGAGCTGAGTCTTCAAAGACTGAGAAAGAGTTTGCCAGATGGGCAAGGAGAGAATTCCAGGCAGGGGAGAGAGTCATTGCAAAAGCACAAAGGTGTGAAACAGCATGGTGCAGCCTGATCTGTTCAAGTACTTTATGACCAATGCACAGACTTCCCAGGTGGCATTAGTGGTAAAATACTTGTCTGCTAATGCAGGAGATATAGGAGACACAAGTTCGATCCCTGGGTAGGGAAGATCCCCTGGAGGAGGGCATGGCAATCCACTCCAGTATTCTTGCCTGAAGAATCCCATGGACAGAGGAGCTTGAAGGGTTACAGTCCATAGGGTCACAAAGAGTTGAACACAAGTCAAGCAACTAGGCATGCACGCACACACGGTCAAAGCACAAAGGATGGGAGATGAACTTGGACAGGTTCACCAGTGCTAAATCATACATCCTGTGTGAAGGAGTTTGGGTTTTTTCTTGGGAACAGTGGGAAGCCCTGGAGGGTTTGAAGAAAGATCATGATATACTCAGATTTGCCTCGTGATGGAGTAGTTGCTGAACAGGAAGAAGGCAGTCTTAATGGGACCAGAGTCACCAGTTACAACGCAGTTACCAATGATTGAATGATAGATGGTGAGTGTGTAAACCAGCATTTTTCAAAGTGTGGTCCCAAGTTCACCAGCATTAGCACCTGGGGCTTGGTAGAAATGCCAGTTCTCAGACTCACCCCAGCCTGGCTGAATTCAGAATTGTTTTTTGACAATCTTCATTTAACAAACTCTCCAGGTGATTCTGATACACTCCAAAGTCTGAGAAACAGCAGTCCAAACCAAGAACTGGCAGACTAGAGTCTGCCAGCAGCTTCTTTTCACAAATGAGGTTTTTTTTAATTTTAAGCTTATTTTTTAATTGAAGGATAGTTACTTTACAGAATTTGTATACCTATGGAACACAGCCATGCCCTTCAGTTGACAGATGGTCTTCTGCTGCTTAATCATTACAACAGCAGAGACGTTGCAACAGACTGTTCAGCCAGAAGCTCAACACATCAACTGTTTGGCCCTTTAAGAAAAAAAATTAAACTAATGGTTCTTAGCTCTAACTGACCATTAGAACCACCTAGGGAGTCTTGTTTTTTTTTAATTCTGATGCTGGGCTGCATCCCAGAATAAGCGCCTGCCCTCCCAAAGAAAAGTTAGAGTTCTGGAGGTGGGTTACAGGCTTCAGTTTTATAAAAACTCATGGGGTGATTCCAGCGTGTCCCCAAGGTGGAGAAATATTCATCCCTACCAAAGCAGGAGCAAGGCGGAGGGAGTGAGGAGGACAGCGGGGTGGGGCATGGGAGACATGTCAAGAAGGGAAGACTTCCAGGCTTCCAACAGCCAGACGGGGACAGAGTGGAACAGCAGAGCGGGTCCTTGCTGTCTTCCAAGCCCCTCATTTGTCAGCCACATATTTCAGCGGTTGCTCCAAATGGCCCCCTCCCTCACAGCGCTCTCCCTCTTCTGTCACCTTTGACCAGGAACCTCTTACTCCACAAAGACATCACTAAATATCTGCTCCCTCATTGTCTTGTACCCGCATCTGCAAACCGGGGTGAACGTCCACTTCCACACCTCCTCTGCTCCCAGCCTCAGAGGTTCATGTCCTGTCCCAGCCCTTCAAGGCCAATCACTCTGCTGTGCTTTTCATTCTCTCCTCTCTCTCTCTGTCTCCCAGGTTCCAACACTGTCTCCCCAACCCCTCCCTCACTCTCTTTTCTCTCTCCTTCAATCTTCTCCCTCTTTGCTGGTGCCTTTGTCTCACCCTCAGATCAAGCCTAGCCTAACCTAGACCAGCCCTCTCAAGGAATTTCACCAAAATATTAGCAGTGGGTTATTTCTTCAATAGATGTTTTACAGAAATGCAAGTTGTCTTATTCTCATCTTTCTCTTTTTGAATATTTGCCACGTCTACAATTAATGTGTAGGTTTTGAGATATAAGTATGGATGGCACAGGTTGTTTTTTAACCCCTCTTCTACCTTCCCATCTCCCTCACCTCAGCCTCATCTTTCTTCTCTTCTCAGCCAAGGCCCTTGAAGGACTGGGGCACCTTCATCTCTCACTTCCCACTGACTGTGGTCTGGCCTCCAGGCCACATACAACTCTCCACTGAAACTTTATTCCAATGACTTGCTAACTGCCCAGAGTTAGTGGGTGCTTATTGGTTTCTTTACCTGGGGCTCTTAGACATTTGCCAGAACCAGCCACTCTGTTCATGAAATGCTGTCCTTCCTTGGCTTCCCCAACTGCACACTTCTGAATTCTCCTCCTGCCTCTGAGATTGCCTTCTCCAGTCTCCTTCAAAAACACTTCTTTCCCTTCTTGCCACCTAAAAGTTGACTTCCTATTTCCACCCTCAGCTTCCTTCTCACGAAGCATCTCATCTCATGCAAACTCCTGCATTCCCACTGCCACAACCAGAACCAACATACCCAGGGGTCCCCATCTCTGTCTGCAGCAGGACTGCTCTCCTACACCCCTGACAGCCCCCAGGTGATGGCCGCTTGAATACCCCCATGGCATCTCAGATTCAGCATGCTCAAACCTCACAGCTTGTCTTCTCCTTCTATTTCCTGTCTCAGTCTATAGACCCATCCAGTCAGCCTCCTTGAAATTCTTCGACAAATACTCATTTCCAAAAGGATGAAACCTGAACTCAGAGCCATTCCACATGTAGCTGGTGTCTCTGCAGAGCTGTCTCCCTTTCTCACACAGTGTTTTTTCAACTGCCATCATCAACCCACTGGTGGATTTTGTTGAAGTTGTTGCGGGGAGAGGGAGTTTGGAGACTAGACAATAAAATATGAGTGCATTCATGTGGTAAAAGCTTTGCTTTTTGAAATGTGTGTGTGAGAGAGAGAGAGAGACATAATTATACTAGGGATGGTGGGATGGAATCATTGACTCAATGGACATGAGTCTGAGCAAACTCTGGGAGGTGGTGAAGGACAGGGAAGCCTGGCATGCTGCAGTCCATGGGGTCATAGAAAGTCAGATATGACTGAGCAACTGAACAACAAACAGCATGATGTAAAATGAATTTTATGCTGTGATTACATGTTTGAAAGCCACTGCTCTGACCCTTACCTACTGTCTTTTCGGCCTGCGTCTCCTCAACTGCCCTCGTGGCCATGGTCCAGTCAGACAGACCTGCCAAAAGTTTCTTGAACCTCAAGATTCACATCTCCATGCCTGTGACCTGCTGTTCCCTTATCCTATCTGCTTGGAAAACACCTACTCATCCTTCAGGCCTCAGTTCAAAGGCCAAATTCCCACTGAAGCATCTTTGATCTTTTCTCCTCCAGAAAATTGCCTCCCTCCTTGGAAGATCCTTGTCTGCACCAAAGGACATCAGCCCTGAGAAGACCCCTTCTTGTCCTTTCTTTTGCCCCTCCCCACCCCGCAGTTTTTAGACATACTCCCAACATTGCACCTCTCAGGCCTTTTGTGCAAGGCTGCTCCACCCGCCTATAAGCTTCAAGAGCAGGCATCACATTTTGTTAACCTTTATGATCCTGACACATCCTAGGGCCTCAGGAAATTTTTGTCAGATGTATGCAGGAATGCTGTACTTTGTTAAATGCTTTATATGTGTTAAGTCATTTGATCCTCACTGGGGAGCAAGTATTATTTTCCCCACTTTGCAGGTGAGAAAAGGGAAGCTCAGAGAAGGTGAACAACTTGAGAAAAACCACAGCATCTGGGCTAGTCAGAAGTCAGAAATCAGGCTGTCTGGCTCTGCTAGCACACTCTGTCCCTATTATACACCAGACCGCGTTTGTTTCCCAGATGTAGGTTTTGTCACTCTGGTCAGCGAGTAAGCAGGGATTACACCACCTTTGGTTGGATCCGGCCCCTCTCCAGCACCCACACTCCTTCCCGGGGATGCATGTTGAAATAAGCAAAAGGAGACAGGAGAAGAGACAGGAGGCTCTGTCCTCCCCGGCCCCCTCGCTGCACTTACTGCGGGTCCTCTGGAGCTGCTGCTCCTGTGAAGCTAGGGCTGTGCGGAAGCCCTCCAGGCTTCTCTGCTGCTCCTGGATTGTTGTTGTCAGGGTTTTGGTGTTCCCCAAATCCTCTCTTAATGTCTTGATCTCAGTTCTGGCCTCCTGCAGATTCCTCTCTAACATTTGGGTCTGGGAATGTAAGGCTGCGGCATCCTTCATTCCTTGTTTTAAGGTCTGTATCTCTTGGCTGGCATTTCTCAAAAGACCATTTAACACCTGAATCTTGGAACCTAAGGCAACGGCACTTTTCAGCTCTGTTTTTAACACTCTCATCTCAGCATCTGTCTGCTCCAGGAGACTGTTTGCTGTTTGGGTCTGGGCAGTGACATTTTCCAAATCTGTTTTTAACAAGTGAATCTCACCTCCAGCCCTTTCTAAATGACTTCTTAACACCTGGATCTGAGCACTGGTGTTGTCTAAACTGCCTCTTATAAAGGTCTGGGTCTGAGAGTTTAAAGCATTTGCATCTTGCAGACTTCCCTTTAACCTCTGCATCTCAGCAGTGGTGCTTTCCAAACTACTCCTTAAAACCTGATGGTGGGCCCTTAAATCACTGACACTATCCAGATTACCTCTTAAAACATGGATCTGGGCATTAACATTCTTTAAACTACTGTTGGCCAATCGGACCTCAGCATTTGCCGTTTCTAATCCTGCCTTCAACACCTGGATCTCCGTGTTGGCATTTTCTAAGCCTCTGCTTAACACATGGAGCTCAATGCTAGTGTTTTCTAAACTGCTTTTAAAGAAACTCTGGATCTGGGAATTTGAAGCATTTGCCTCTTCTAGATCTCCCTGGAGCTTCTGAATCTCAGAAGTAGTCTCCTCCAAGGAACTCTTTAACAGCTGGGTCTGGAAACTCAAGGTACTGGCGTCTTTCAGGAGGCCTTTTAGCATCTGGATGTCAGCACTGGCACTTTCCAGATCACCGCCGAGCATCTGGATCTGAGAACTGACATTGTCCACTCTGCACGTCAATAGCTGGATCTCCACGCTCCAGGTGCTGGCGTTTTCCACATGTCCTTTAAACAGTCGGACAGCCTCTCGGAGGTCCACCACCCTGACTGAGTGGTAGGGATCTGGAGGGAGGAAATGGAGAAAGCAGCCAAAGAGGCCCATCATGTAGGGAAGCATTCTTAAAATCTCCAAGGTAAATGTCTGCAGCACAACCCTGAGCTCTCCTCAAGCAGCCTATAACCGCCCAGGCCCTGGGGCTGGACCACCTGAGAATGTAAAGCCAAAAATGAAATAAAGGTCTGCTTAGTAAACCAGGAAGCAGAAGGATTGAAATACTTGGCTAATGGATTATTCTGCCATTGTAATTGAACTTGAAAATAACTGATTAGATCACTGAGAGCTGTTGATGTTTAATTCCACTGAAGTTTCACCATTAGATATTAATAGGTCATTATGGAAAGGCAACAGCTATGAATCAAGCCCATGTTTAGTCCAATGTTATATTTATACACCAAGCATGAAGCCTCTTGATTCACAGTTGTGACTTCCTAAAAACTATGTAGGCCACAAACATAGACATTTTCTGATCTCAAATCCATGGGAGTGGGGGGGGGGGGAAGTAACCAAAACAGAAACAAAATAAAATAGGTACCCACGGAGGAAGTATTCTGCTCAATGTACAGGGCCGTGTGGAAGTCCTCCAGTGACACTGAACCCTGACCTGCAATGGCACCTCCAGTGCTACATAGTGCAAGGGTCCCTAGCGAACCATTTGAGGATATGGGAGACCCTAGCGAAAGGCTTTGGTCATTGGGTCATTCGAGGAAACTCTGCAGCATCCCACCAAACCCCCTGCAGCTAGCTGCACCCTCTGTGCACCGATGAGCTAAAATGTGAGCTCAGACATTCACGGTGTGAGGTGCCCATTCCAGCCTCCTTTCAGAAACAGGGAGAAGGACCCGAATAAGCAGAGACCCTTTCTGGAGGACTCCTGCCCTGCTTCTAAGCCCTGCCTAGGTAGGTATGTGAGACCTGAGCTGCTGTGCTGAGGTAAGACCAGGAGGGCCTTAAATCAATGGGACAGAAGAGAGAATCCACACAAATATGGACAATTGGTTTCCAACAAAGATACAAAGGAGAAAGGATAACTTTCGACTAATGGTGCTGGAACGACTGTACACCCATTTGCAAAAAGAAAAAATGAACTTCAGTCCATATCTTGCATCAATATTCAAAACATTAACTCAAAATTAATCATAGACCTAAATGTAAAACCTCCAAACTACAAAACTTCCAGAAGCAAACTTGAGGGCATGTCTTTGTGACCTTGGTATAGGCAAAGATTTCTTAGATACCAGACCAAAAGGACAATCCATAAAAGAGATAAGATGGATAAATCAGACTTCACCAAAACTTAAATCTTGTTAAGAGAATGAAAAGAGAAGCCATAGACTAAAAAAAATGTTGGTAAATCACATGACTGATAAAGGTCACAGAAAGAGTACATACTCTAGATCTCTTTATATAAAACTCCAGAAAAAGTCAAGCCATCTGTATCCCAGCCAGCAGATCAGTGGTGGCCTGGGAACAAAGGGAGGAGGAGAGAGGCAGGATGGCCAAGGGCAGGAGTGAACTTTGGGGTCAGAAGGTTGAGTATATCCATTATCTTGATTATGATGTTTCATGCATCTATATATTTGTCAAAACTTAGGTTGTACACTTTAAATATGTATACTTTATTATGTGTCAATTGTACCTCAAAAAAAAAAAAGCCATTTAAAAGAAAGATACTGGCTTTCTGTGAGGAGAACGGAAACCATTTAGGGGCCTGAGGACATTGAGGAGGAAGAAATGTGTCCTGGGGTCTGAGCATCCAGGGTTCTGGCTCCCTCCCCTCCCCCACGGCGGCTACTTACAGTCGGGTTCCTTGAGAAACTGCCCAGTATGGTTGTCCCCCAGAAGCTCTTGGAAGTAGGCGGGTGTCTCCAGTGCAGGTCTCGGGTGCTGTAGGGCTGAGATACCCCGTCCCCACATCAGCACAATCCCCAGGCTGCCCCACCCCGAGTCAGGGCTCCAGAAGGAGGTGGAGGAGTGGCACCACGACCCCCTCAGAGTTCCCCTCACAGGCCTCATCCCTTGGGAACCTCCCCTTGGACAATGACCTTGGTTGGGTCCCAGGAAAGCCCTGGTTTGGGCCTGGGACTGGAGGTGGAGTGATCCCAGGAGTAGAAGGGGAGTGTCTGGGGCTCTTTGGGGCCTGTGTGCAGGAAGGAGAGAAAGCCAGAGGGGCTCAGGTCACCCAGGAACTTACCCACAACGAAGAGAGTCACAAGACAGAAGACCATGAATACACCCAAAGAGGCCAGGGTGGCCTTCAAACGCCTGGGCATCTTGGGGGCTGCAGAAACCACTGCCACGGGGTCCAGTCCTGCAGGGGAGAAGCCAGGATCCAGGAGGGGGCTGCCTTGTGGGCTGGACGGTTGCAGCGCCTCAGGCTTACTCTCCTGGCCTGTCCCATAGGACTGAGGACACTTGCCCCGCTCACCCTGGAGAAAGGCAGTGAGCACCTGGGAATGTGCACCAGGGCTCATGGAAGCTGTGGTAGCAACAGAAGGCTCAGAAAAGACCACCACCTGAGCCTGGAGGCTGTGCCCAGGGCACAGACCTGGCGCAACGGAAGACAACAAAGGTATTGTTTGAATGAAAGCAGAAGGGAGGGAGGGAGTGGGGGAGGGAGGCTCACAGCAGGAACCCTGACCTCAGCATCTCAGGGCCAGCTTTGCTGCGTGAATCCTGACCAGAGAGACACTCACAGCCCTGGGGGGCTGCTGCTGCTCCCACAAGCTGACATGGGTGTCCTAAGCAGGGCTGTGCCTGGGAGCCTGGGGGCTGAGTATACAGAGAATGGGGAGACCACAGCCCGGCGCTCCAGAGGCCTCACAGGGCCAGCCCAGTGTGCAGAGATGGGGTTTCAAACCAGGTCCCCCTGAATTCATTGTTCACTCTCCTCTGGCCAGGTTGCCAGCCCCCAGGGAAAAGTCAGGGGAGATTTCACGCGAAGCCTCGGCGTGGGCCACAGGCACTCTGCCCTTGCCTGACCCACCTTCAGCCCCACCTGTTTATTCGGGAAGCCGAGCCGGTGCTGAGCCAGTGCTGAGCCTGCCAGGCAAGGGCCTAGGGAGACGGCGGGGGGCCAGGGCCCAGCAGGCCGGACCTGCCCTGCTGAGGACAGGCTGAGGCCCCAGTCTTCTCACCTTGGGAGGACAGGGACACACTCGGGTTGTCTGTGCAGAAGTGGACCTGGTCAACCCTCATCTCTGCTTCCTTCATCCTCCAGAGCAGCTCCCTGCCACGCTGTGAACCAGCAGTGGGGAAGTAGAGCCGCGATACGGGTTTATATGCTCCCGAGTCACTCCTTACAAACTCTGCCTTCCCCCGCTGCTGACTCTGCAGAAGTGCCCCATCTGGGCCCTTCCCCTCAAGGCTCCCAAGTGCCAGTCGGCACCCCCATCCTCCTTCTTCCCTCAGCCCCAACCTCCCCACCCCTGCCCTCCAGGGTAGCCTCAAACACTAGCCTCGGCCCGAAAGTCACAGACACCTTTCACCAGCCACTTAGAAGGGAGTTCGGGATTGCTTCTCAACTTTGCATGGAGAAACATCCTCATGACCCATGGCTGAGTCTTAATTCCAGCCTCAGACTCTCTTAAGTAACAGGAGGCTAGTAAGGAGGAGGCTGGCTCAGCGCAGCAGGTGTCTGCAGGTCATGGGAAGGGCTGAGGTGACTCTCTGCCCACTCAGGACCTCACAGCAGGTGTGATGGGAAAGGGATTATAACAGAATAAAACACTTATTTGGTCTCTATCCCAGTCCCCGGAACAGAGCTCCTAAAAGCCAAAGCCTTGGAGTTTTCTGAGTGACAAGTATGTCTTTTGTTATCCAAAACTAACCCTTTTAAACCATATTTGCATTCATGCTGATGAAGGGACTCAGACCACTAGATAGCTTCTAGATGGAGACAGTCTTAGAAAGACTAACCCCTCACCTCTCTCGTTGGGTTATAAGAGCCCATAAACGACAAGAGAGCATCAGGAAGTTTCCTGGCTGGTGAACAAACCCACCTACCCAAAAGGCTACTGCACACCTGCTCCATGGGGACAGAGACCCCCATGCTCTGGGTCCTTCACCTTGTCCACTGTTCCTCTTCATCTGGCTCTTTGTTTTTATCCTCCATCTAACCTGTGATGGTAAGTACAGTGTTTTCACGAGTTCTGTGCGTCATTCTAGTGAATTATCAAGCTGGGAAGGGTCACGGGGTCCCCCAGATTTGCAGTCTGCTGGGCAGAAGTGTGGTCACTTGGAGACCCTGCTTGCACGAAGTATCTGAAGTTGGGGCTGTCTTGTGGGACTGAGCCCCTAACTCACTCCATGGGTGAGTGTCAGAATTGAATTGAATTGTAGTCACTCACGGAGAAGGCAATGGCACCCCACTCCAGTACTCTTGCCTGGAAAATCCCATGGACGGAGGAGTCTGGAAGGCTGCGGTCCATGGGCTCGCTGAGGGTCGGACACAACTGAGCGACTTCACTTTCATGCATTGGAGAAGGAAATGGCAACCCACTCCAGTGTTCTTGCCTGGAGAATCCCAGGGACGGGGGAGCCTGGTGGGCTGCCGTCTATGGGGTCGCACAGAGTCAGACACGGCTGAAGTGACTTAGCAGCAGCAGTAGACAGCTGATGTCAGAGAACTGGTTGGTCTCAGAAAACACCACACATCTGGTGTCAAAAGTTATGTCAGAAAATACCAAATAGGACCCAGCTTGATCCAAGATCTCACCCCTAGGTGATTGGATTCATGCTCCCCTGAGCTGATCATGTTCAGGACTGACTTCACCAAAATTGCTGTATAAGCCAGTGTGCCGCTTCACGATGAGACCTGTAACTCCCAGGAGAGACGAAGACTGTGTCAGGGGGTGCCTCTGCTTGTGGGCCAAGACCTGGGAGTGAGGTGTCCCAGGGGAGCTGTGCAGCCCCAGGCCCCCACCCTCATGGGGTGACCAATGAGGCAGAATCAGTACCCACCCTGGCTGGTCAAGGCAGGCCTCCTGAAGTCAGCTCTGAGGATGACGGTAGATTCTCACTGCTCACTCCCCCATCACTTCAGAGGGTTACCATCTTACTGAAATGGATCACATTTTCTTTAACACATAAAAATCTAATTATGTATTTGTCCCCTATCTCACCAGTGGGCCATTTACGAGATGTCAGTTACCTTGTAAATGGACTGTTCCATCCCAATTGTGTTGCTTTTTCCCATCTTCACCTTCATCCCTTGTATCCAATTCCTACAGCATTTTCCCAAATGCTGGAGTCAGCCTCCCACAGGGCCCCAAGCACCACCCAAGAAGCCCACTGCCCAGCTTCCAAGGTAGAAAAGCCAGGCCGAATGTGCCTCCTCCTGTGGCCGGGCTGGGAGAGCAACTTGGGTCCAGCCTGTGTCATCAATGGCCAGTGTCCACACAGCCACAGCCAGCCAGGGGCACAGCCCATCTGCAGCGTGAGGAGAGGAGGGCTTGCCTATGCCCAGCTCATGATGCCACAGTAATGTGGGGATGTGTGTATGTGTATATGATACGTGTGTTTTGTGAAATATGTGTGTATGTGTATATATGTGTGTGTGTATGGATGTGTGTATGTGTCCATACCTATGTGTGTTTATGTGCATATGGACTTCACAAGTGACTTCATGGTAAAGAATCCACCTGCCAATGCAGGAGCCACAGGAGACCCAGGTTCCATCCCTGGGTCGGGAAGATCCCCTGGAGGAGGCTGTGGGAACCCACTCCAGCAGTCTTGCCATGATAATCCCATGGACCAAGGAGCCTAGCAAGATACTCATGGGGTCACAAATAGTCGGACATGACTGAAGTGACTGAGCACATATGTGTATATGCCTGTGAATATGTGTATGTGATGTGTATGTATATGCGTATGTGTGTTTATATGTGTATATGTGTGCCATGTGTGCATGTGTGTGTGTGTGTGTGTGTGTGTGTGTGTGTTTGGGTGGTGTATGTGTGAGGGAAGAATGCAGATCCACCATCCACCACCCTGCTACCTCCTGGCAGTTGAAAGCTGAGAAGACAGGAGAAAACACAGGAAAATGTAAAGTCAGTCAACAGCTCTGCCTGAGACACCAGCAGTGTCCATGTGGGAGGGGGGCTGCTAGAGGTACTCTCAAGAGCCTTAGACATCCAGGGGTGGCAGTGGAAAAGAGAGGGCCTGCCTTGGTTTCTGTTTCCCCACACACAGGAAGGGCCCACATCAGCTAACTCAGGACCTGTTTTCTGGGACTGAGAAGCTGACAGAGCTTCCAAAGCAGAACTGTAGAGAACCCTTGCTCAGCTGTAAGGATGGAGACTGGGGTGGGAAGGGTCATAGTCCTCCAGGCCTGGTCAGCAGGACTCCTCCTCTCACCCCCTCCCCTGTGCCCAAGCCCTTCCCACTCTAGGCTCCCAGCTTTCATTTCTCCCACAAGAGCATCATCTGCCAGCAGGAAGAAGCACCAAGAAGTTACTACATCCTTGCAAAGTATTTCTCTCTTTCTGGCCAGAAAAAGTCAAATGGATATCTGATCCCTTAACACCAGTGGGGACCTCTCACACTGGTTTTCCCTGTCTCTGCTGAGTGGTGTGGGGCTGTCTTCCTGGAGATGCAGATCCTTAGCTTCAGATGCTCCAGAAGCTTTCGATCCTCCATATCAACCCCTGGCAGCACAGGGTGATCAGCTGGGAGTGGCGGGCCCCTCCCAGAAGTGTCAGGAGGGCTGGCTGCCTCTAAGGTGGTGCCAGGAACCTCAGCTGCCAGGCTCTCCAGCCTTCACTCTGTTGCTCGGCCCTCTGTGTCTCGCCTATCCTCACCTCTGCACCTTTCTCTCTTCTCTGCAAGATATATTCTCTGTGTGCTCCTCCGCTCTGCCTCACAGCCTCTGTGTATTCCGAGTTTCTGCAGCTGCCCTGTGGTGACCCCGCCAGCCTTTCTCTAACTCAGGGCCTTCCAGCTTGACTTCTCTTTGTTAACTGCTTCAATCCCCAGGTGTTTCCAGGTTCAAATTCTTTCCTAGAAAAGTGGTCAGATAGTCCCACACCTCCCTTCACATCAGAACCAACCAGAGAGTCCTTGCCAGCCTTGTTCTGATTGCTTCTTATTTACCCCAGTGGTGAGTGTCTCAGTCAAACCAGGCTGCTAAAACAAAAACATCATGAACTAAGAGGCTTACACAAGAGAAATTTCTTTCTCCCAGTTCTGGAGGCTGGGAAATCCAAGGTCAGAATGCTGTGGACACAGTTCCTGAGGAGGGATCTCTTTCTCTTTTTTGCAGAGAGCCTTCTTACTGTAAATGCAGAAAGCAGAGAGAGGCAAGCTCTCAGTCTCTTCCTATAAGGGCACAAATCACATCGTGAGGACTTCACTCTGGTAACTTCAGTCAGTTCGGTCGCTCAGTCGTTTCCGACTCTTTGCGACCCCATGAATCGCAGCACGCCAGGCCTCCCTGTCCATTACCAACTCCTGGAGTTTACTCAAACTCATGCCCATCGAGTC